GCCCACAGCGGGCAAAGTTCCCCAAACAGCTGATTTCTGCGTCTGCCTATCAGTGTTTTCGTTTTCTTTTTTCCCGTTTTGTTATTGGATTTCCCTGCCACAACTTCCCCCCCTTCCTTCTTGTAAATTATTAAATTTTGCGGCGCAGTTTTCCTTGGTCTGCTTTGGGTTTTTATAGGGTTTCCATGCTGCAGAGAAACCCCTGCGATGTCCAGGGGCGTGGAGACAGGGGGGGCTGATTCCCTGGTGATTCACACCTCCAGACGATTGGTGCATATACATTACTCTTGCATTTCGGCATTAACCTGCCCCCAGCCAATGCCTGGCGCGATTTACACACGCCCCCTTTCATTTAACGGCGACACATAAATCACACAGCGCCAAGTCCGAGACGCACATTGAATACACAGTTGGGGTCAGACATTTAAGTAATACAATTCGTAGTGGCGATATCCACAACCGGAAACTACCCTCTTGATTAGATAGGTATGGATGGGCAAAGTAAATATTTAAAGCAATGTGATATATTTTTAAAGAGAATTTATTATTTAATTAAAACATAAAAATAGGTACGAAAATATAAATTTAACTAAAAAAATGGTTAGAGAATTGGAGTAGTAAGTATAACATTTGTAATATTTCAAATTCAAATTTAGACGAGACTTTAATAATTCCTTTCCGCGAAGTGCACCTATTTTGGACTTAATCACATGCTCAAACATTTATTAAATGTTTAAGTATTATTAAAATATAATCTATTGTATAATTAAAAAATTCCGAAAAACTATTAAAAGTAGTTTACAAATTAAAAGGTTTTATGGTCGCCAATAATCTGAACCGAAAATTTCCATCCCTTTTTTTTTCCATCCCTTTTTTTTTTTTTATTGCTAACATTTTAACTGCTGCTGTATGTTTATGCGTATGTGTCTGCATTTATGTGGCGCTCATTTAAATTCATTGTTTTGCCATTTTTTTGTGGATGTTTTTTTTGCGCATTTCCTAATTTGATGGCTTACCTCTGACGTCATTGGCATTGCGCATGACCCGCAGCAGCAACACTAGCAACAACAACAACAATAATAGCAACAACACCAACAAAAACAGCGGCACAGTAACTACAGTAACGCTGGCAACAACATCTTGATACGCTTTGTTGTTCCGTCTTATTTATGTGGTGGCGTGACCGACTAAACGGAACTCCCACCCCCTGCCACCTCTTTCCCCTCCGAGACCCCTCCCCCCGCTGATGTAGCCCCAAGCAAAACTAGAAACGTATAAGCAAGCAATAACAACAACAGCATCTCGGGCACGGCGGCAATAAAAACAAATCACACTAAACATAGTGCAGAGAAAGAAATAGGAAGCATAAATAACATGTTTTATACAACAAATTCTAAACCAATGTAATAAATATATTAGGAAAATAATTTGTAATAAGAAATCAAATAATACTTTAAAGTTATTTATTTTGAAATTAAAGTTGCTAGGTGCTAAACAGGTTCGCTTTTTTTAGACCTTTATTTTTAAGGGACTACTTAGGCTTTCATTTATAAAAAAAAAAAATCTTTTTACTCTTCTCCACTAAATAAACATAAATCTGTGAAGCTTAAAAAAAATAAAACACTTCAAGTTTTTTTTTTCCAAATTGGAAACAAATTTAATAAAAATTGCTGTAGTCTATGAAAGTTAAAGTCAATATTAAACTAATTCTTTGAAGTTGAATATAAAATAAGGGTCATAAAATATCGGAGTTACAATTTTCTGCAAAGAACATAAAGCTAGTCCACCTCAAATTGTCTATTATCCAATTATTTTCTTACTGTGTAGACTGTGTAAGAGTAATATGAACAATTGTATTTTCCTTGCATACTTATGCAGTTGGGCTGTTTGTTTGTTATTTTTCTCGGGCACCAGGAAGCAATCTCCTTAACTCTTTCACTTTGCAATTAAGTAGGGAAGTTGGAGGCGGAGGAACAACAAGCAATCTTAAATCAAATATTATGATTGATAAACAACAACAATATTTGTGTTGTTGGGTGCATATCTATATGGAAAAATGTACCTATGGAAAATAACTCACTTAGTTACTATACCCATTATCGGCTTAGAAGAAAGAACTTTTCGATTTATACAAATTTGAACAAAAAGAATTGAAATTATTTAATTAGCACAGTAACGATAAAAGCCTATAGAAATTCAATCAAATTCAAATGCTTCCACCAACATTATCTAGTCACACGAGAAAAACCAAATTAATATTAAGAATTAAGAAGAACTTAAAATATTTGTTAGCAAATGTTAATTTAAAAGTAAAAAAGAAAGATAAAAATGTTGTAGCTAATTCATTATCGTAACCTTAAAGAGAATAAGCTTATATTTTACGAGTCATATAATAAGTTTTTTTTTTTGTATTGTGCTCCCTTTTATTATCGCTTAAAGTTAACATTAAACTATCATTTCTAGTGTAAATATAAACACATTTCTTGTTCTAACAAGGGAATATGTACTGCATGTATATTGTCCAATGTACACAGTATAAGCAAGAAAAGTTTACCCTTGGTTTAGTGTATGTCAACTTTTCTGGCGCACTGTTTGAACTTATAAGCCAATTGTATCCACTTTTTATTGCTGTCATATTTATGGGGCCCTCTTGGTTTACTTGTGCTCCTTTTTATTTGGTTCAAAAGGATAACTAAAGGTGGTTTCAAAATTCTTATATAAGAAAACATTGCCACCAAATCGAATTTAGATATCTAAATATGTATACATAAAGAATAACAATAATTTAAAAAAATACAATACTTAAAAAACGTACTAAAAAGAAAATACTGAAGTATTCATGACAAATATTTTGTTAACATATTGACAGTTGTGGTCTATATGTTAAAACCTTTGTGACAGTTTAAGAACATAAAATCCATCGAAATGTCATATAAATAAGTGTAATTATAGTGACCCGTGGTGGTCTTCCAAATGCCTCTTTCCCTATCTTAAAAGGCTCGTTCTTGGGAAATATTTCTCTACCATCTTGCCGCAATATCTATTAATTCGCAGATCGCGATCGTGTGCCGTTTTTGCTGTCCGAATGCAACAGTCGCTGCAATAAGTAATGGGCACAAAGCAATTCGAGTAATGGCAAATGGCAGCAGTTGAACCGCTAGAAAGCAGCCAAGCGTTGCAGTTGCAATTGCCCCGTGGATCGGAGGGAATGAGATGGAAAACTAGGGAGAAAGAGAGGGCCACATATACAAACATATACTATATAACGATCAGATGTTCCATTAGTCGCTCGGTGTGTGTGCATTATTGTGGATGAAATTTTGATGTGGTGCAAATGAACTTGCCGCCGTTTCAGTAACTTTGCGGGCGGTCACAGGTGCTCGTTCTGTGACCAAGAAGATTCCTTTTCTCGTCTATCCGTCTATCCGCTTCTCACCTTTTCCCCCTAGCTCTATTTCTCTCTGTATTTTTTCAGCTCTTCAGTCGACAGCTGTTTTAAAATACACTCAAAAAAAAACAAAATCAATTAAAGTTTTGGTATTGAATAAAAATATATAGTAGATTTATTCACTTCACTTTTTTTTTAATAAATGAGGTCGCAAAGTAAGTCATGAAAAACCCGATTCTCATTTCGAAAAACCAATTAAATTCTAGTGTCAGTAAAAATGGTTATATTAAACTTAATTATGGTATGTGCTACCCTCAACTTCATATTACTTTTTTTTAGAGTGTACTACCGTGTTCCTGCTTTCGACTTTATTTACTGTGAATGACGATGCATTTATATTGTGTTTTCTTATTAAGGTCTAGATTCTGTGTAGGGCAGGCAACAAATGCAGTTCCTGTGTTCTTCGTTTCTCCTCTACCGCTCTATTTGATTTCTTTTTTTTATTCCTTCCTCACTGAAAAAATAGCGTGATAACTACACCCCGGGGATATTTTATGGTAAAAGGGGGCTACGTGTATGCGGGCTTGGGTCAATTCATTGATAAGAACTAGCTGGAGGTCTTGCCTCTAAGGATACGAAATTGGAATGTCGTTTTAATCAATTATTTTTCCTTTTTCTTTCAGGTGAGTAATAAATGAAACCACTTTTTGAGAATTTCTGTAAAGGAGGAGGCCGTCTAAGTCCCAGGTAATCTGTTAAAGTCAATTTAGGCAGTAACTACTTATCAACGTAGTTATGCTTAAACAATAAATGCATATCTTTTAAAAATCTATCAATTAACAAATTAAAAAATCCAATTAGTACTCTTTTCAATCACAGTAATTCGATTTTTAAAAGAATCACTTTTTTATTGGATTTTTGAGAACAAGATAATTTATAATAATATAAATAGAAGGAAGTCATTTTTTTGTCGAAATAGGATACTTTAAAACTTTTAAATTTATAGATATAAGTTAGTTGATAATGTACTTTCGGTTAAACTAAAAACAAAAACCATCAATAGAAAATGATTTTACTTCTGCTTTGTTTGCAAGAAAAAGTAGTAGATTCTACTACTATTCCACTGCTACTAAGCCACATTCTCTTTTATTGGCCAAGTGGCAACGCCGTCGCTGTCAGCTGCTAAGCATCAGCTGATTTCAGAGAGTGGAAAAGAGAGAGAGCGGGAGCGGAGAGAAAAAGCAGTCAAACAAGTGGTCGAAAAGTGTATAAATATGTGTGTTTCGCTTGAATATGCAAAACACGTATGGGTGGTGCTCTCTCGCTCAGCTGCTCGCTCTCTCCCTGTCTCTCTCGCGCAGAGAGCAGATGTTGCTGGTGTGCGGGACAGCAGCAACATCACCCAAAAAACACCAACAACACGGCAGCAACAGCAACCACTTCATCTTTACTGTGTGCTCTGCTTTCGTTGCCAGTTTTCTGTTTTTTTCTGTTTTTTTTTTCTCTCCTTATTTGCGTGAGTGTTGATGTTGCTGCTGCTGCTGCTGTTGCTGCGATGTATGTGTTGCTGTTGCCAGCCGAACGGGCAGCAGTCAGTCAAAGACAAACGGCTTGGCTCAGTGTAGAAATTTCCTTTGGCACGCTTGGTCGCTCGAGCGGTCGCAGGTTGTCGATGGTGGACTGTTGTTGTCGCCGCGTCATTTTTATTGACATTGTTTTTCGAGGCGCCGCCGTCGGTTGCAACCTCAACATCGCATCGCATTGCGTCGCAGTTAAAAAGCAAAAGTAGCAGCAACATTTGCAACAGCAGCCACATCGATTTCGCCCGTGTGAAATGCTATGCTAGATTGTGAAATCAAAATTGAATATAAAATACAAAAAAAAAACTGAAATCCCTAAAAGGGGCACAAATGTAAGCAGAAAAGGAGTCTTCCCAAAAATCAAATATATATATTCAAAAGAAAAGAAGTGCCTCTCTTGTGTGTGTGCTAGTGATTTTTCCCGTGCTGGTGTGAAACTGTGTCATTCACTGCGAAAAACTGCATTCAAGTTTTTCCTCAGAGCCGCGATTGCTGGCGTGTTATTGTTGCTGTTGCAGTTAGCTGCCACGGTTTGTTGCTTCACTGATTACGCGCAATGCAGCAGCAGCAACAGCAACTGCAGAGGAGCAATACCAGCTGAGAGTTCAGTTGTGAAACCGGCGAAGCGCGACTGTTGCCAATGCAACTCTTAGAATTGGCACACCAGCAACAACAGCAGTAGAAAAAGCAGCAGCAGCAGCAACAACAATACAGAAACTGCAGCAGCAACAACAACGGTACATTCGCAATGTTGCTGGTGTGCCATCGCCACTCCACCACTACTTTTTCCGCCACTGCCATATTGTTTTAACCACTTCCTTTGCCGCAGCGGCAGGAACTTCCTTCCTCACGGGCTTCCTGTCTGTATGTCTGTCTGGCCATCCCTCAACCCTCCCCTTTGGCCGCCCCCGCACCCTTCACGCATTGTCAGGTGTTTTCCCTGCAACACAGGCAAAAAATATGGGTATATATTTTCAAAAGCCCAATTTTATATTCTTATTAAAATAGTTACAACTATTAAAGCTTGAAAATCACATGGCTATATCCGAATTAAGAAAAAGTGGTATTATTTAAATGCCCAAAAGTGTTTATTTAAAATTTAAATAATATTTATACCAAAGGATATTTAGATTTGTTTCAAATCTATCGGACTTGTTAAATCACCATCTTTATGTTTGGCAAATGTTAATACTTTGTAGTGCTTATCGGCCATTTAATTATGTTCTTACTTTAAAGACAGTTTTTCAAAATTAATAAGGATCATATGGGCCCAATTTTTTTTCTGTGCACATCCTGGTTGCTTTTTTTATATTTTTTGTCAACCCCGTTGACGCCTACGTGTTCAATGCGGTGAAAAAACAACAGTACGAGTGGCTCAACCAGCAGCTTGTTATTTCTCACACCTTCCGGTAAACCCCCCTCCCTTAGCCCCCCGTAAACCACCCTCCCTTAGCCCCTCGTAAACCCTTTGGCCATCAAATGCGCTAGGCCATTTATCGATTTTTTTAGGTCATGCTAAAAATTGCAAAACCAACTGGAATTAGTTGCGGATTCCCATAGTTGAATTCCCATGGACTTTCGCGAAACGCAAACAAATTAAATTGATCCAAGCCTTTGTGTTGGGGTATTATCTAACAGATGAATATTACTTTTGAATTGGTTTTCTTGGTATAGGCTTACAGATCTAAGGACCCATTTTATTTGTTTTATGGGGGAAGAAAAAAAGGGATCACAATATGTACTTGTATTAATAATAAAATGGATTTCCTTAAAAAAAAACAATTTAAGAAATGGAATAAAGGAATTTGTAAACTTGTTAATAAGTGCATAGTTATGGCTTGTATCTTCCCACAGCAATTCGATATATGTAGTTACTTTATACTACTTATTATTGAGCGTTTTCCCTAGTGATCAAATACTATTCTCACGGTATTTCCCCCATTAAGCTATTCCAGTGAAAATTACTGTAGAATCATTGCACTATAGACGTAATTAATCGGACTCATGCATATGCATTTGGTTCTGTTGTGTTTTATTTAATTTACGCTATAGATTAATCGATCGTTTAACCCATATGAAAAGGATAGTCACAGTTATAAACGCTGGCGGATAAATCTCTTTTGTAACTGGGTTAGTTAGCGACCCGAAAACTTCTCCGCCTTTCCAGTGAACCGTTATGCCATATATGCTGCCGGGCAGCTTCCAAACCAGCAAACGAGCCAACTAACAAACTAACAAACGAACAAACCAACAGAATAACACAAACCAGCTCACCGATAAATGGGTATAGAGGTATGGGTTATGGAGAGGTACACCAACCTATCTATGTATATCATGTCATCCATTGCATGTGCATCTCACGTCACCGCCGCCGTGTACCGCCACTGTTTCTATCTCTTTTTTTTTCTGTGTCCATATCTGTCTCCATCTCAGTCTTCCTGCTCTCGCCAGTTGTGGAACTCGTTTTTTATTTCTTTTCATATGATACCAATAATTCTACAGCTTTTCTACTCTTTGTCTGTCTTGCCAGTTTCAATTTCGGTTTCCTCTCAACTTTTTTCTCACTTTGCAAAATGCTCGTTTGACCTTTAACGGGGGTACATACAGAAAATATACATAGAAATACACAGAAATCGGCAACAATTAAGCTCATTCAAAACGCGAGCAAATGGGCAATCCAAGACACTCGGCGTCGCATTGCTAGAATCACTTCATAAATTTTGATTTGATGGCGCCCAGTGGGCGGAGGTGTGAGAAACGAAACTAGAAGGGGGAAAAACGGCGACAAAAACAACAGTCGGCAAATTGGCTTCAATGCGAGTTGAAGGTTAAGTGCGACAGCGACGCGGAAATTAAGCGTTTGGATATTGAAATTGTTGCTGCTTCCGAAACAGGCGAATAAAGAATTAACCTCTTTTCTGACTTTGTTCGATTTTTCGTATATTTTTAGCACGCAGTTGGAGACCATTTAATTGGCTTCCTAGCTGCGGCTTTTAATATTTTAAGCTCTATGACGTTTTAGCATAAATCTAGGATTTTATTATTGTTATATTTTAATTCTTTTAAAGATGTAGTCAAAAGAAGAAGAGTCACAAAATAACATAGTTAGTATGCAAAATTGTCAGTCAGATAAATAATGCAGTTCGTAATGGTTTTAAAACCAATAAGAACGCAACTTTATTTAGATTATTTTTGAGTAGCAGTGTTTTGACTAGAAAAGAAAACATTTTAAATCTTAAAATGAAATATTTTTGAATGTTAAAATATTGTTCAAATTTGATAAGTGCAAATAAAATTTTTATCTTATTTTAGATTAGCATATGTTAACTGCCTTTATATATTGATATGTTTTTAAAGAAAAATTCATTTAAAATCTTTGACAGTGCATAGCCAAACTCGTGTTGAACGGAAATTTCAATCTGACAGGGCAATTTTTGCTTGCTTTGATATTTCTTTGTGCGTTTTTCTTTGCATAGCTTTGCACGAGCTGTGTATTTTTGTGTGGGGACTGTTCGATATTTTTGCTTTTATAAATAACCTTAAACGATTTTTCTGCGCCGCCAGGCCACACGAAAAGTGTCAATGTCAGCTGTTGTTGTGTTAGCCACGAAAACCAAACCGAACCGAGCCAAATCGAAAGCGAACCGATGTGAAATCGGAAAAATCGAAGAGCCCGTGCTAAATTTATTATTCAGCTGTCGGCATTGCCATCATAGGCTTTTTCCCAGCTTTGCCCCGCATTTCTAGTCCTTTTTTTTTTGTATTCCCGCTGCCTGCCACTAAAAGCTTCCCAAAATAAACGCGAATATGTATCTGCATGTGTTCATATTTTATAAGCGAATACAGTGCAGCAACCGGTGAAAATTAGCAAAATGTTTCCGTCACACAAAAAAGCACTTTCATGCCTCCTTCACCTTTCCCCAGTGAAAAACACGCGCCGCTAATTGCACGCGTGTGCAACTATTTCTGCGAGATACAGATATACACTTGCCACCAGGCCTCCTAAATAATTGTTAGCCGTCACTTTTTTTGCCGTGGCTAAATTTGTGGAGGAATACAAAGAAAAAATGTATCGAGACAAAACAAAATAAACTTGGAGGCTAAATCGCCGCAACAACAGATAGATAAAATATCCGTGTTGCAATCGTGGTTTTTTTCCATGCCGCCCCCGCCTTTTTCTTGAGGATTTGTAACAGCCTCAACGCAGCACTCGAGATGTTGTATGTGAATACCGAGCTCCCACAACATTGTCAAAAACAAAACCCCCCCCTCCTCCTACCATCACCCATCACCCATCCCCAATGACCAAACGAAGACATTCGTCCCAGGCACTGTGGTCTTGGAGTGATAAAAATGTATGAAAAATGAATATATGTTTATGTGTTCGTCTTGACTTATCGCCTTCCTCGTCGCCGTTCGTGTATCTTGTTAACACGGTTGACTACAACTTCTGCATTTTGAGCAGAGGTAATCAAATGTTTTATGGAGGAAGCTACCGATGCATTTCCATAGTCTAGCTGATCAGCAAAATTATGGAAATTTTTATATAGCCCTAGCGTAGTCAAAACCAAAGTGTGATTATTTTAGGGAAATATTTGAATACTTCCTATTTTTTATAGAGATATTTATGATATTCTGAATATTTATTTTTATTTACTGAGTAACAATTTACAGAAGCGATGGTTTTAGCTTAAATAAATTATTGAAATAAAAAAGCTTACCTAAAAGTTACATTTTCTTGATTTCTTATTAAAAATTTATTGAGAAATCTTAATTTTTTTTTTTAGTGATTTTTGTCTATAATCTTTGTAGTCAAAGATTTGATTGATGTATGTATATTGCACTCTACATATAAACTATATTAGGCAATAAAAGTTTAATAGTTCTTAATAGTGATTCAAGTTCAAACTTTTCGTTTCTTCTAGAGTTAGAAACACTTTCCTATGCCATTTAAGAGCTATTAGTGATTCCAACCCGCCGGTTTTAAAATGAGGGGAGTTCCCAGTGAGATCCACTGTGCTTTTTTCCATAAAAAGAGGCTTGAGTTGTGTTTGCAGGCCCCTTTTCTGTCGTCCAATTGACCGCCCACCGCCCGCAATGATGGCCGCTGAGATCGGCGGTCTATAATTATGCGGTTGAGCCCCTTTGATCAAACCCCCCTCCCCCCACATCATCATTATTCCCTCACTGTGAGGCGGCGGCATCTTCAACCGGAGTATACGAAGAAGTTCGGTAACTGGATACTGGTGAAAATTGCGCTGCTTTTCCCCGATTTTCCCTCGCTGCTGGCAAAAACAATTTTCGGCTAGTTTTGCAATAGACTCCCACAGCT